AATCATAGACCTCTTATATATTTCCTCACATGTGTAGTTGTTTCTTTTCCCAAGCATACATTGAACTTGCATACACAGAAAAAATAAAAGCCAAGCTGTTTTTGACTGCTTGAAAGAGTTTAATGGTATCTTTAAAAGTGTACCATATCTGTAGCGACTAAAAGTATTATATGAAAGCAAAGCTGCAATAGCCAGTTGGGTCAATCAATATTTACTTACTGGTGTAGTGGGCCATCAACTGCTCTGTGTTGTTGTTTGTATTGAAGATACGCTATTTTCAGTGTCCAAACACTGAGACAGCCTTCTCTAAAGCCTGGGTGGCTAATAATGCACCTTGGTTTCTCGTCGGTGTCTTCTGTCTGGTCAGTAGGTTGCAAACTGTCTATTTGTTCCATCACCTGCCAGATCTCTCTGCAGCATACACATTCATCTGCAGTGGGCATGCTTTCACAGCATTGACATGTACACCTGAATATTGTACATAACATAAAAAAAAAACAATATCTGCCGGACGTGTGAGGAACAGATGACAAATTAAGATCGACATTTAGTGCAGGTCAAATTAAATAAAACATAATTTACCATTCAGTATTGCCGACTCGAGTCTCGCCGGCTGCGGAATCCACTTCTCTTTCACAAGTTTCTGCCTCGTTGTTCGATTGCCGGGCAGGAGGCTCGTACTGATAAGGCAAGATGCCTTGAAGTGAAAGGCTAGCTGGTTCACTCTCTACTTCTGTAACTGAATCCAGATAGCCCACCGAATCTGAGCTTGAATGATCGCTGTCGCTGTCTGAAGTTGTCGCGTTGCTTGCCATTTGGACTGATTTTATCAAATGGCAATATTTGCCACGTGTGACGTCACCGCTCGTTTGGGAGTGATCGGGGGCGTACTCGGCAAACTTCGGAACCTACATCAGTTTTTAACGTATATGTCATTTAAGTATGACCAAACTTTAAACTTTTTTTTTTTTTTTTATTCTGGTGATATCTAAACTACATGTTAAAAAACACCTGTGTTAGATGCATTACATGGCCTTTAAAGTGTATTGTTTTAAAAGGATACCGTTCACCATTTGTACCATCTTAGTTCAACATGAGTACATAGGAATGATAGGAATTCAAGTAATCTTACAGGTATTTGTAGAGGGTCAAAAGATAGGTCAACTGAGGAGGCTAAATGAATTGCTTTTCTTTTTTTGGTTAAGATAAACATAATGAAACTTAATGGCTTATTATGTCGTAATTTCCCCCCAGTGGCAGCTCCCAAGGAGTCCAAGAAGGAAGCAAAGGAAAAAATCACAACTAAACCTGTAAAACCAGGTAATACAAAGCCATCCATAGAAGCATAGTGGAACCATGAGTAAATATACTTTTAGGATCCATGTACAGTTTTAATGGCAATACAATATGTGTAGGCACTTGGTAGAAGATGTGCTAAGTATCTTCAAGGTTAAATAGATTGATAGGTTTCCTTGTAAAATAAAGGGTACGTTTGTTTCCATTGTAAAATGTATGTAAAACTGTTGAATCAGCTTTGCCATTTTATTTCAGAACCCAAAAAGGCTGTAAGCGGGATTAAAGTAGTCAAAAAGGAGGTTGCGTCCCTCTTGAGGAAGGAGCATCTTAATGTTACAAAAGCAGGTGAGAAAATACAGTCTGTACAATAACATCTCACAGTGATATGTTGTCTTTGTGGTTAGATGTACAGTATAGATGTTTGCAGTAAAAAAGCTTACATGTTAAATGTAAAGCCAAGATTAGCAAATTAATTATGTTTTTGAAAATTCTCCAACATTAGAGGTTCATCAAGTACCTAAAGTAAAATCCAAGCCAGAACCTGCAAAGAAAGGTAATATTATGTAGGAAACATAACAAGTAATATATTTGCAGAGAGTTTCAAATAATAAACACTGATCTTTTAATAAAACCTCAAATCTAAAGGCTTGTTGGTCTCATGATTTTACAGCAGCGGCTCTTCCCAAGGAACCTAAGAAGGAACCAAAGGAACAAGTCAAACCTAAACCTGTAGAAAAAGGTAATGCAAAGCCATGAAGCCACACCACAAACATGGCTAAAAGATACTATTATAATGTTGGTGGATTTTTCATGACAATACATTGTTAGAAAAGTATTGTACTTTCTAGTTTTCATAACTCAGATGGTCCTAGATAGTGCTGCTAGAAATAGATTTATTAATGAAGGGTATATTTGTTTCCACAATGTGAAACTGTTCAATCATCTTGGGCGTTTTATTTCAGACGCTGGACCCAAAATGGCTGCAAGGGGGATTAAAGTAGTCAAAAAGGAGGTTGCGTCTCTCTTGAGGAAGGAGCATCTTAATGTTACAAAAGCAGGTGAGAAAATACAGTCTGTAGAATAACAGGTCACAGTGAAATGTTATCCTTGTGGTTATTATGGATTTTTTGCAGTGACAAAGCTTACATGTTAAGTGTAAAGACAAGATTAGTTAATTCATTATATATATTTTAAAATTCTCAAATACTAGAGGTTCCAGAGTGAAAGCAAAACCAGAACCTGCAAAGAAAGGTATTTTTATGAACGAAATATAAAAGGAATATATTTGCAGAGAGTTTCAGATAATAAACACTTATCCTTTTATAAACCTAAAATCTAAAGGCGTGTTGGTCTCATGATTTTACAGAAGCGGCTCTTTCCAAGGAACCTAAGAAGGAACCAAAAGAACAAGTCAAACCTAAACCTGTACAAAAAGCTAATGCAAAGCCATGAAGCCACACCATGATCATGGCTAAAAGATAACAGCTACATTTATCATAGAGATGGACCCAAAGATAGGGCTACTGGAAATATTTTTATTTTACTTTTTTCAATGAAGGGTATATTTATTTCCGCAGTATAACTTATGTGAGAGTTTTTAACCAGCTGTGCCTTTTTATTTCAGACGCTGGACCCAAAAAGGCAGAAAAGGTGACTAAAGAAGTCAAAAAGGAGGTTGCGTCTCTCTTGAAGAAGGAACATCTTAATGTTACCAAAGCAGGTGAGAAAATACAGTCTGTACAATAACTGCTCACAGTGACATGTTATCCTGATGGTTAGTGTAGATTTGTGTAGTGGTATTGATTGCATTTTAAATGTAAAGCCAGGATTAGTTAATTCATTATATGTTGTTTAATTCTCAAATACTAGAGTTTCCAGAAGTACCCAAAGTGAAAGCCAAAACAGAACCTGCAAAGAAAGGTATTTTTATGTAGGAAACATACATACTATAGCAGAGAGTTTCAGATAAAAAACACTTATCCTTTTATAAACCTAAAATCTAAAGGCTTGTTGGTCTCATGATTTTACAGCAGCTGCACCTCCCAAGGAACCTAAGAAGGAACCAAAGGAACAAGTCAAACCTAAACCTGTAGAAAAAGGTAATGCAAAGCCATGAAGCCACACCATGAGCATGGCTAAAAGATACTATTATAATACTGGTGCAGTGTTCATGACAATACATTGTTACAAAAGTATTGTGCTTTCTAGTTTTCATTACTCATTGATAGTCCCTAAGATAGGGCTACTGGAAATAGATTTTCTAAAACTTTTTTTCAATGAGTGTTATATTTGTTTCCACTGTATAACTCAATGTTAATCAGTTCTATCAATTTGTCTTTTTATTCCAGACGCTGGACCCAAAAAGGCTGTAAGCAGGATTAAAATAGTCAAAAAGGAGGTTGCGTCTCTCTTGAAGAAGGAGCATCTTAATGTTACCAAAGCAGGTGAGAAAATACAGTCTGCACAATAACAGGTCACAGTGATAATGTATCCTGATGGTTAGTATAGATTTTTGCAGTGGTATGAATTACATGTTAAATGTAAAGCCAGGATTAGTTAATTCATTATAAATATTTTTTTCATTATCAAATACTAGAGGTTCCAGAGGTACCCAAAGTGAAAGCCAAGTCAGAACCTGCAAAGAAAGGTATTTCTATGTAGGAAACGTAAAAATAGATATATTTTCAGAGAGTTTCAGATAATAATCACTTATCTCTTTATAAACCTGA